TGAATAATTAGAGCTTTTAAAACTATAATCATCTATCTGAGCTGTGTATATCTAAATTATCTATGCATAAAGTTTATTTTTGAACTAAACAAAATCCATTACTAACTTTAAAACTATTGAGGGGCGGGGGCAACAAGGGGACAGCAATTAAAATTAAAAGATAAAATCGAAGCGTGTAGGAAGGGCAAAAGTGAATTGTGTTCAAAATTATCCTAATATTTATAAATTAAAATATGAGGACAATGTAAGCGACATGAAAATTCTTAAAATTCCAAAGTGAGCTCGACATACGTTTAGAATAATATCGTATACCAGCAAGCATTTATTTCATAAATGACATATTATCAATAATGCATTTTTCTGGTGTTTCCATAACGTGGTAAAAAACCTGGCTTCGCTGCTTTCGTAATAAATATCATATTGGCCTAGAAAACTATTGCGTTACAGAATAATTAAAAGTAAAAATAATAAACGGGCATACACATCTGCAAAAATATATTAATTTGTTACATGTGTCACCGTAATCACATGCAGTTTGTTAAGAAATAATAACTAACAGTCTTTCCTTGAAATTAATTGTAATAAACGATGTAATGCATACATACATACATTGAATATATTTATTAAAGCCATTTATACATTATTTTATACAGTTGCGATCTGCAATGTGGTGAACAATGCGTCCCTTCTATACAGACCGGACATTTTTATTTTAACACAGATAACGCAATAGTTCCTTGAGACTGCCTCAGATAGGAGCACTAGGCCAGTAAGTCGTGGAACACTACCGATGTGGACGTGGACCGCATGATAATAGAAACGTGAACGTAAATGCACCTTCACCATAGTTTTCAAAGTAGAGATGCGCAAGCTTTTACGTCGAAATGAATTTTAGTTGGGGAAACTATGAACCAGTCTAATCTATAACAAAACGAATATACGTGAAAATGGATAAATGTTTATAATTGAATCCCCAAACAAAAACACATATCTACACGTAAATATTTGCAGATGGAATAACCGAACAAAATAAAATCTCGTTAAGTTAACCTTAATCTACACGGAACCTTCGCGGCCGACCTATAACATGATACAAACGAAATTAAATATATCTTTTTGTTTATTACTCATTACAATTACAAATAAGTTTACAATATACCTAGGTATCGTTTACAATTGGCGTGTTGTTGATGTCGCCGGCGCGGGCGCGGCACGAACGGACAGGACGCCAACACCTAATGTCTATCTATATATTGGGAAAATATTGCGCATTTTTTTTTAATTTGCATTTAATTCAATTTCTACAATTGTTTCAACAATAAAGACGACTTACGGTCCATTTTTTTTATTTAACAGTAAACATTTCATAATAATGATGGAACATTTCATCATTAGAACAATGTATTAAATTAATACATGATAGTGTTGAAGGTTTTGAGTTTGACTCAAAATACAGTCAGTGGCAACTGATCTACTGTCGCCACAAATATTGCAGCGTAATATTACAATACTTATAGTAGAATTAAATCGACTTTCATTAAGAAAGCATATATTATCCGATATTAACTATATTTAACTGTTAATATTATTAATAATATATTTTTTTCTATACAGAAAATAAAATATCAATGGAAATTTAATTTCATTTTATATACATAAAAAAATAAAGCCAAAATAAGTTTTTTACAGGACAAATTATTTTCCAAAAATCAAACATGAAATACCTACCATTACTACGTTAAAAAAATTAAAGTAAATATTTTCATAAATTTACCGAACTGGTAATTATTAACTAATGACAGCAACACTCGGTGTATACAGCTGTCAGTTTACTATTAAAATCCGGCTTGTGCAACAAAATGTGCTGCATAAATTGTCTTAACATCCATTACATTTGAATTTTTAGTACATAATTTTCAACTGTTTCCAATCAAAGTCGCTACCTTTTTAAATCGTACAATACATCATGTTGCACAAGTTTGCATATTACATAATATAGAGCGGGCGAAATTGTGAGTACATAAATAAATAAATAATAATTTTTATAATATAAAATTAGCGGTTGTTTGTCCGTCGGTACCGCGTCCACGGCGAGTGCCAGTGTGTACAGATGTTCTACCACGTACTCTACGTACCTCGACCCCCGCGCTCGCCATCGCTGTCGTGCAATTTTATCTGCAACAGGAACAAGTGGTAAAATTACAAACTTTGTACTACCGACTTCAACATAAATAAAATGAGAACATCATGAATGTAGTCGAAGTCAATTAAATACGCAATATTAAGGATAACTCAAAAACGACCGTTCAGATCTTGATCAAATTTATATGGGACCACATGATAAGCACCAGCTGTCAAGTAAAAACAGAATCATCAAAATCGGTTCACCTAGAAAAAAGCTCTGAGATAACACACAATAAAAAATACAGTCAAATTGGAATCCTACCTTACCAAATTGGAAACCTTCCTTCTTTGAAGTCGGTTGAAAATAATAAAAACTCTTTTGCAAAATAAGTGAAAGTTTTGAAAACTATGTATAATTTAATATAACACGTTAATTTTATGTTCTTACACTGTCATCCGATGTTTAATTTTAAGTCTAGCTCATCGGGAAGTTAATTCTGTAAGTTAAACTAACTTTAAACTTCGATTTTAAATTCAATCCGAACAGACCTAAACGAAAGCGAGTTAATAAAACGTGGGTTAATAATAGAAACAAACTGGTTCGATTTCATGTAGCAAAAGAAAGATAAAATCTAAAAAGAATTTCCCAATATTTTACTGGCGTTTAATAAAACATGCTAGCATATTAGAAATATAATTCCCAATTCAAATTATGCATGTACGTTACGTTTATCACTCTGTAAAACATAATTTTACAGAGTTTTGTTATTATTTTGCAATTTAACTGGCGTTAATCAAAATCAAATCGCGTCAAATGGATTTTTATAAGTATAGTTTGCCTTTGCGTTATCTTTTCAAATAATGCTAGCAGTGCCATCGTAAGATGCGGAATTAGGAGAGGAGTGGAACGAACGAATGTTGATAAAAGATTGACGTGCGTGTGTATATGTACGTGTTATCGTTATACTATATGTTACTCAACTTTCAAAACTATGGTGAAGGTGCATTTACGTTCACGTTTCTATTATCATGCGGTCCACGTCCACATCGGTAGTGTTCCACAACTTACTGCCTCGTTGGTCTAGTGGTTGTAATAGTGCGACTACTGATCATGAGGTCCTGGGTTCGAATCCCGGGTCGGGCCAATTATTGAGTTTTTCTGTCAAGAAATTCTCAGTAGCTGCCCGGAGTCATGACTCATGCATGTCATGCTTGGGCATGATTTATGACTTCCGAGGCACGGGGGTGAGACACCGCCAACTTCATGAAGTTAATTTAAGTAAAGCCGTTGGTCCTGCGCCTGATCTCTCTCCGGTCGTGTCGGTTGACCGTCCTATCTCATTATGAGAATGAGGGAATAGAGAATGCACCTGTGCTTGCGCATACACTTAAGCACTATAACCCTGTCCTGCGCCGATGGCTAGCCTCCGTTGAGGCAGACCACCGTGCCCGAAATTCGGTCTGGAGGACATTATTATTATATGGAAGTGTGCGTGGTTGAGTACGTATGTATATGTACGTATGCGTGTGTACGTACGTATGTATATGTACGTGTGCGTGTGTGCATAGGTATGTATATGTAAGTGTGCGTGTGTGCGTACGTATGTAAATGTACGTGTGCGTGTGTACGTACGTATGTATATGTACGTGTGCGTCGTGTGCGTACGTATGTATATGTACGTGTGCGGGCGCGTACGTATGTATATGTACGTGTGCGTGTGTACGTACGTATGTATATGTACGTGTGCGTGTGTGCGTACGTATGTATATGTAAGTGTGCGTGTGTGCGTACGTATGTATATGTAAGTGTGCGTGTGTGCGTACGTATGTAAACATATATGTACGTGTGCGTGTGTACGTACGTATGTATATGTACGTGTGCGTGTGTACGTACGTATGTATATGTACGTGTGCGTGTATGCGTACGTGTGCGTGTGTACGTACGTGTGTATATGTACGTGTGCGTGTGTGCGTAAGTGTGTATATGTACGTGTGCGTGTGTGCGTACGAGTGTATATGTACGTGTGCGTGTGTGCGTACGTGTGTATATGTACGTGTGCGTGTGTGCGTACGTGTGTATATGTACGCGTGCGTGTGTGCGTACGAGTGTATATGTACGTGCGCATGTGTGCGTACGTGTGTATATTATGTACGTGTGCGTGTGTGCGTACTTGTGTATATGTACGTGTGCGTGTGTGCGTACGTGTGTATATGTACGTGTGCGCGTGTGTGCGTACGTGTGTTATGTACGTGTGCGTGTGTGCGTACTTGTGTATATGTACGTGTGCGTGTGTGCGTACGTGTGTATATGTACGTGTACATGTGTGCGTACGTGTGTATATGTACATGTGCGTGTGTGCGTACTTGTGTATATGTACGTGTGCGTGTGTGCGTACGTGTGTATATGTACGTGTGCGTGGTATATGTACGTGTGCGTGTGCGTACGAGTGTATATGTACGTGTGCGTGTGTGCGTACGTGTGTATATGTAAATGCGTTGTGTGCGTAAGTGTGTATATGTACATGTGCGTGTGTGCGTACGTGTGTATATGTACGTGTGCGTGTGTGCGTACGAGTGTATATGTACGTGCGCGTGTGTGCGTACGTGTGTATATTATGTACGTGTGCGTCACGCGTGTGTGCGTACGTGTGTATATGTACGTGTGCGTGTGTGCGTACGTGTGTTATGTACGTGTGCGTGTGTGCGTACTTGTGTATATGTACGTGTGCGTGTGTGCGTACGTGTGTATATGTACGTGTACATGTGTGCGTACGTGTGTATATGTACATGTGCGTGTGTGCGTACGTGTGTATATGTACGTGTGCGTGTGTGCGTACGTGTGTATATGTACGTGTGCGTACCTGCGCGGCGCGGTATCACTTGCAGCAGGAGGAGGCGCGCGGCTGCTCGCCGTCCGCCAGTCGCCGCGCGCCGGCGGCGCTTGCTCCGCCGCCACTCTCGCTCTTTGGTAACTTGTTCGCTGCGTACAGAAGTTTTTTAATGCTAAATACAACAATTATCCCTGATCGAATCAGGAAAACAAAATAGTAAACCCCCGTAACGAAATTCGATTAACAGGGACATATCACCGTTCCTGTTAGTCTTGTACCTGAGTGTCTGAAAAATGCAACAGAACTGTATATCGTCTGGTTACAAAATATCAAAGAGTTGCACTAGCCCTAATCTTTATATCAACTCAAAATAAAAAATGACGGAATTATTTTAATCCGCCTAGTAACAACAGTCCAGGAGGAATCGGCACATAACTACCGAAAACTATTCCACCTCAATTTTTTTATGCGATTCTCTTCAATCCTACTGATAATATAAATGTTTGTTGGCACGGGGCAACTCGGTGCCATATTGTTTAAACCGACATTTTTCAATTGTAAGGAATTGTTATTTGAGAATTTCTTTTTAGAATCATACTAAAGAAGATGTCTTAAATTATTAGGATAGGAAAATTTAAAAGAAGTCCAACAAAATTGACATCAGGATCTAAACAAAATCTAATTTTGCTTGCTAAACAATGTTGTTAATGATTTTGATGCGGTTTTCGTCAATGAACATAATGATGCAAGAGGAAGGTTTATATGTATAGTACATACAATAATAGAGAAATGGCAAGAATTTCAAAGATTTGTAAAGTGATGTCGTAAAATACATACACTGACACCACATTAGTATCTACGTTGCACCCGTGCGAAGCCGGTGCTGATCGCTAGTACAAAAACAGTAAAAAAAAATCGATACATAACTCTAATGAAGAATTATCATCATCATCATCAGTCCTTTATAAATACACTGTTGAATAGGCCTCCAAGGAATGCCAGATAACAAGGCCTTGAGCCACCTTCGAATTTCTCCATTCCTTACTAGGTAGTCACTGCGTCTATAATGCGGCCCTCACTATTATCCCTTCATCCCGCTTACCGGTACGAGAATACCAATTAAGAAGAAGAATCATTCTTACGACTAATCTTGACAATAAATTAACTTGGTCCATTATTTAACACAATCTAAGTAAGCTCTGAAAAAACCATAGAATACTATAAAACATACATAATAGAACGGGGGAGTGGACGGAGCCCTTGTAGCCACTAAAATGCCACTAACACGTCAATTCACACGTATAAATGTCAATACGAGATGTGTTTTGACGTTACAATCGTTTCGAAATTTCGCATGCAAATTATTTAGAAAATGCCAAATTGCACTATTTACAAATAAACAATTATTAAAATCCGTCTGTCAACACAGCGAATCGGGTTTGTGGTAGTGATTAACTGATAATACGACGTAATTGCTTGTATGTGTGCTCCCGGCGACGCCGATCCTCGTTCAAAATAAGGTTGACAGCCATTCTATTGTGTAATAGAGTATTCAGTGGTATAAACTATACTTGTAAGTAAATGTTTCCTAGTTGATAAAATACTTTTGAAATCAACACACTCGCTTATCACTTAAAGTACATACCAATATTGTGTCCGCAATAGGCGCAAGCTGGAGTTATTTACATTAAGAATTGGTGTAGGAAAGACCATTAATTACTATTACACCACACTACCTAATGAAGTGAAAGAAATTTACTCGGTATTGAAACATCGTATCTACATCGTACATCGTAATCTTATAGTTTTGCTATAAATAAATTAAAAAAAAAAACAATGTACAAGTTTAAATTTTAATTTGTACTATGGGTGTGTTTCGAAATACACTGTGGCGTCAATTCAGTATACTGTGAAGCCATTCCGGTTTAGTTTGCTATACTGGTTACTGTTTAAAACGGAAAGCAGTTTAGTATACTGTCATCCCCATTTCTCGACACTGTTTTGAGACAAAAATTTCACCAGTGAGAGCACCGAGCAGTGCTCGGAATGATCTGTATTTTTATGCTAGTTTGTGCTTGTATCTAAATTGAACTTTGCTTACATTTGTTTCTTACCATATTATTATATTACATAAATTAAAGACTAGATGAAGGCAGAAAGTCCAATATTTCACAGTGTGCATGGTATTACAGTTTTATCAGCACGCTACTATTTGCATTGTGTTCAGCCGTATTTAAGATAACAAACGTGCCTACTCTAGTTTCGGCAACTCTTTCAACATGTGCTTGTAATGGCACATTATTAGAAATGCCTACGATTTTATTGTTTAATATCACTCACCATACAAAACACAGCAGCATTGCTGTAACACACTGATAATTACATGATATTATTCTCTAAAATAGCGTTTTACCCGGCAGACGATACCTTCGAGTATCCGTCATATTACAGCTGTAGCGTGGCTTACGACGGCTTTTACCAAATATCGAAAAGTATTCAAAATTTTCGTAAAACACGTAATAATTGACTGAGACTCGTGAATGGGTCGTCTCGAAAAGAAAAGACCACTACAAAAAGAAAACTTACCGATAGCTAGGAAAATGTCGTTGACATTCATGGCGGTCTTGGCGCTGGTCTCCATGAAGAGCAGGCCGTTCTCGTCGGCATAAGCCTGCGCTTCATCGAATTCGACCATGCGCTTGGCGGCGAGGTCGCTCTTGTTGCCCGCCAGCGCGATGACGATCGACGGTGACGCTTGACGCTGCAACTCCTTCACCCAATTCTTCGCGCGACCGAATGTGTCCTGTAAGCAATTGGGACCCATTAAATATCTCTTTGAAAGCAATAAAACGAAGTTTACGTGTTTATTAAGTTTAATTTTGACTTTTTGTTTACCGACATTTAGTTTTAATAGTAAAATAGTTTCATATTAAAATTAGTTTTATGGATTATATGGTTATATTTACGTGAATACTACACATGGATGTGTAGTATTCACGTAAATATAAGAAATCATCATAGTCCAAAACAAGAATACTAGATCTGTCAAAAAATGTCCCGCTGAGTTTCTTGCTGGTGGTGGTGAAAGAGGTTTTTTTTTCAAACCAGTGGTAAATTAAAGACTTTCAATAAGTATTATTTATAATATATATTAAATAAAAAAATTCTGTTTGTGTTTGAGTATGTACTACCCTGGTACCTTTTTTTAAATAAAATAAGGGTGGCAAACGAGCACACAATTCACCTGATGGTAAGTAGATGCTGTAACCCATAAACATCTACATTTATCCTCGATCAAGAATCAAAATGCAGATGCATTGTCACCCCTGGATTACTAAGATGGAATGCCTCGTTTCCAGTAAAAAAGGGTCTCCGGGTCTCCGCACTCACCATACGAAACACAGCAGTATTAAGCTGCTATTTTACGCTATAACAAATACAATCTGATTATGATTCTTTAAAATAGATTATTCACAATTAAATATTATGGTTAGTTAATTTCACGTACAAAGACTGAATTAACGTCCTCTAAACCGAATTTCGGTCAGTCTTAACAGAGGCAAGCCATCTGCCCAATACACCATTATAGTGCCCGTGTATGCGCAAGCGCAGGTGCACTCTCTGTTCCCTAACTCTCATAGCCCTGTGGGACGGCAAACGGACACACCCGGAGAGAGATCAGGCGCAAGACCAACGGCTTAAGTACTTTCCGAGGCACGGGATTGAGACACTGCCAATTTCCTAAATTCGGACTGCTACTGAGAATTTCTCCACGGAAAAATTTTATAACTGATTGTCTTGACCCGACTCGGGATTCGAACCAGGGAAATCATGATCAGCTGTCCCATTTACGACCATTAGACGGCCATTCAACGGCCGTGTGGTGGCAACGTAAGTACTGCCATTATCAACCTGTCTGTCAAGCGAGACAATGAGAGCGAGTCCTTCCAAAAACGAAAGAGGAACATGTTCACCAATGACTTTTAAGAAGCTGATAAAGAATAAGAAGAATAAAATATTTAATTAATGCTTGTACTTCCATCCATATCTTCGGTGCTTATATTAGTGGTAGACTGGTAGAAAATATCTTGTTGCATTCAGTCCGCCTTTTTGTACTTGTTGTACAAATAAAGCTTAAATAAATATCACCAGGATATTTTAGATGGCTAGAGCTGGTAAAAGCATTAAATTCTTTGGCCCCCGACCATTGTCGAAATATTTTTTAGTAAGTACGACTATGTATGTCATCTAAAATAATTAAACCGGTGCGATGACAGGGGTAGCGTATAAAGTGCATAGTATTTGGTTTTGCAATACCAATCTAAAACCAAGCCTGGAGATTTAAAAAAATCTTCTTCTGGGGAAAATGTACTATGTATTCACGAGATTCAATGACAAACGTGCACACACAGTCTACCCGATGGTAAGTGGATACTGTGCCACATAGACACCTACATTTATCCGCAATGACAAATCAAAATGCTGATGCGATGGACTAAGATCGTATTCAGTAAATAGGGTCTCCAATCGAATAAAATCAAATCTAGTAAAAAGCACCAGTTATGTAATTGACAAAATGAAAATATTAATTGATTTTCTTGTAATAATTAAAGTAGTCATACATAGGTACATAACCAACTTCCATATTATAAAAATTTTAAAAAGAACTATCAGATACACTCGAATTATTGTACTTAAAGTGGAAGATAATGGAGCAGAAAGACTAACATTTATTTATTTTTAGGTAGTAGTTTACTCTTTTCTTCTCGTAGACAATCCCAGCTTCAGAGAATAGATGCTCTGAAGAAGAAACACTACTTCCTTCCCGATCGAATACTTTTGCATAATATTGGGCTATTCGGACAAGAAGTCCGCAGAATATTCAAGTTGCAAGTCTAATAAAAAACATTTATTAAAAAAAGAATATAATAAACACTACACAGAAATATTAATCAATTTATAGTTTGTGAAGAATATCTAAAAATAGTCAATAGGCATTTAAAATACTGCATAATCTCGGTATGTATTTGTAAATTAAATCCTAGTAATAATACGAAGGGGCGGCGAAAAAGGAGTAATTCATTTTCGAGGGTATCTGGATGAAATATTAAAGTTACGTAATAATATAATTAGTATAAGTAAGCTAGTACATCATTGAATGAAACTAAATTTACGGATTTTATCGCGTTTATTTAACAGATTTTACTTATTTTTAATTCCCGACGTTTGGGGTGCTTTACAGCACCCATTGTCACGCGGGGGACTGAGATGTTTGAGTTGTCAATTCACAATGGAGTTACAGGCAAATAATTCTTTAGCTTTCCTAGATGTTTTAGTCATTCAAAATCCTAATAACACTATTGGTCACACTGTGTATGGAAAAAAGACCCATACCAACCGATATTTAAATGGTGAATCTCACCATCATCCTTCACAGTTAGATACCGTGGGTAAATCTTTGCTTCAGAGAGCACGAGGGATCTGTGACAGAAAACAGCTGGCCGCCGAGGTTCAGCACGTCAAGCAAGTATTGCAAGACAACAGGCTTCGGGTCCCGCGCCTACGTCACAGTGACCGAGTGAAGCCGGCGACAGTCGAGCATGTGCCTGCTATATATACTACCATATGTCAGAGGAGTCACAGACAAGGTTGGCTACATCTTGAAGCGAGCTTCCATTAAAACACACTACAAGCCGCCGAAGAAGATTAGTAAATTTTTACCATCCGTCAAGTGTAATATCACTCTACAAGATGCAGGAGTATACAAGTTAGATTGTGAATGTGGTCTCTCTTATATAGGTCAAACATAAAATCGATGAAAACCCGTGTGAAAGAACATATAGCTGACGTGAAGCACCGACGCTCCGGGAAGTCTGCAGTCTGTGTACATGTTCAAGATCGTCCCCACCATTACATCAGATTTGATAAACCACAAGTCCTCGCAAAAGAACACCGATTCCTACCAAGGTCATCCGCACACGTGAGGCTATAGAAATTAAAAAACATCCTAATTTCAATAGAGAAGATGGATGGGTGCTACCATCTGCTTGGGATCCTATAATTAACAAAATTAAACCCAAACCCAAGCATACCACTGCAACACTTCAAGATACTGTAAGCTCGTTTTGCGTAAATCGGACCGAAAATTAATATTAAAAAACTGAAAGTAGCCGGGCTAACAATGACATTGGGACGTCAAACATCTCAGTCTCCCCGTGACCATGGTTCAGCCCGAAACGTCGGGAATTAAAAATAAGTAAAATCAGTTAAATAAACGCGATAAAATCCGTAAATTTAGTTTTATTCAATGTGTAGTGTTCGCGTACATTTAAGAAATCATTAGTACACCATAATTTACGGCGTCCTGCGAAATTTGTTCATCCGTTAATAATACTCAATAATTATATAATAACACTCTTTTCTTCTATATAAAAATATGAAATGGATCACAGGACACGAGCTAGGTCTCGTCTGCGTTTTTCCAGTAACGTACGCCATCGCCCTTGAACTTAGCGAAGACTTATATGTATGTAATTCAATTGTGGATATTGCACGCACGGCACCGATGGGCGGTGGCCCAAAATAATTCGCGTCCCATTTGAATATCACAGTCGCATATGTACATGATATACATTCACCGTGTAGTAGCGAGTAGCGACATAAGGGAATTCACTACCCTTACATCATCCCGTATAACGACAGAAGTAAATGAAACATATAGGGGAAAATAGTAAAAAGATGCGATTGCTGAGTGTGCCAACTGGCAACTACGGAAAAATCCCACCTATGTTCAGCAAGACTTTTGGTAGGAAAAATATGACATTTTAAAATACCCATATAAATTTAAACCAAGCCGTGTTGTTATACAACATACCCATTTCTTCTAGCCACATTAACGTCCAAGGATATGGATAGATTTTCGCAAGTGAATGTCCTTTTATATTTAAACTTACACTTGGTGCACAAATACATTTCTTGCGCAGGTGTTAACCTGCGATGGTATTCGAAAGTTGTCTTAGATGTAATAGAAATAAATTAAATTAAATCTCTTTTTTAACCTATTATGAAGAGGAGCTTCACTGATATAAGAAAAAAAAACAGCAATAGAAGCTCTGCAGATATCACGTTTTTAATTTTAAGGGTAATGAGAAAAATATAATGACATAAAAACACACACTTATCCTAACTTACCTAAACACGATGTAACCCTAGGTTAAGATCGGATGTGAGCAAGGAAACACGGTGCAGTTAACTCAAGCATTATCAGAAAATAGTAGCTTTATGTTACTGTTATGGACAAAGTAATTAGTAGAGCATTATTCATAATGTCCAGACAGTTTTAAAAATGCCCAATATGAGTAGACAATATAATAAAAATTATTGAATATAGTCTGTTACTTATTGGGAAGAATACCCAAATAATAAAGCAAAATAAAGCAATAATAAGCAAATAATAAAAGAAAAATAAAGGTTAAGTTAGATTAGGTTATCACCAGACGATGTGATAAATAATGAAGTTTAAGTCGTTATTAATTACGTAGCCCGATTTCACTTGTCCTTATTCATATTTCCCGGGCATTATAAATAATGATCCGATTAATCACTTTGTCCATAATATTACTAATGCACAAAGTGAGGATTTTAATCGAACTCGTAATTTAGTCAATCATTTCAAGTAAATGAAGTATAGTATAGTAAAGTATATAAGTAATAAAGCTATCTATAATTCTGTCGCATAATTTTATCAGAGAGTGAATGTGTAGTGAGAACACAGAACCTATGCGGTGAAAACATTGCCAAGTT